ACTGATATACCTTTGCAATGTCCTGATAATTACGATGTACTATTTCTTTCCTGTTTTTATTTTTTAACCTTGGAAAGGTACTTGGGTAAACCTTGTAGAAGCATCACATATGGTGTTGGAGGAAGAGGGCAAGGGTAGGGAGTCAATAACATACATAGTGGGTAGTCCGGATAAATCAATTTTTTTGAGCCAACCCGTGAGCCAATATTTCGAGCTAACCAACCTGCGAGCCACCCACTGCATCATTTCAAGCTAACTCGCGAGCTTTTTTTGAGCCAACCCGCGAGCCGACCCTAACCCGGCTCGGGTCAGGCTGGGTTGAATTTTTTGGCTCGTTTATTTTTTCGGACCAACCCTAACCCGACTCGTTTTTTACGGGTTGAATGCGAGTTGGGCCGGGTCGAGCCAGGTTGGTTCGTTTTGCCAACCCTAATTCAAAAGGCTTATTTAGAAATTAGGTCACAAGTCGATTTTAGCAAGCTTGACCTTTAAGTCTCTAGCCCCATATCATTTTTTAATAAATAATATTGTATTTTACTTTAAATAAAATAATATCTTGTATTTTTAATAAATAAATATATTGTTATTTTTTAATAAAATAATATCTTGTTATTTTTTAATTTTCCGTAATTTTTCCTCTTCTCACTTGACAAACACATATTTTCTTAACCCTAAATTCCTTCCCTGTCACCGCTCTTCTTTCTTCCCTCATTCGCCATATTTCGTTACTCTCATGCCCCTTTCTCAACTTTTCTTTCCTTCCAAACCACTCATTACTTACCCATCGACTCTCAAGACATTTGCAGCTATAGTAGGTCTTTATTCTTTTTACTTTGTGCTCTCTCTTGTGTCATTGACAAAATCGTTCTTTTCAAAATTTCTATTAAAAAATAATATCATTTGACTTATGGGTGTTATATGTATCTTTATTTCTTGTGAGCATTCTACTTCCTTAATTTTTTTTTTTTTATTTCCAACAAGATAGTTAAATTGTTAATATTTTGAGTTGTTGTGTGCATAGAAAAGAAATATATTCAACCAAGTTAAATATACAAAAAAAAGCCACTCTCCTTGCAAGAGGCTGTTTCCTGGATTCGCACTCATAACATTTCAATCATAAAAGAACAGATTTACCACTACTCTGGTTTGCCTATTTTTTTAAATATACAAAATAAGTAAAATAATTATAACATATATTTTACGAAGTGCAACATGTCATTCTTATAGGCTTGGTAGACTTGATAAGCCAAGCCAAGCTTGCATTTTATAAAAACAAGGTAGACTAAGATTATAACAAGTTAAGCCAAATTTGAAATAATTTATACAAATCTAACCTATTTAGGTTAAATTAAGCCTGAATTGGCCTGCAGATTCATTTACAACCGGAGTGAATTTCTAAAAAAAAAAATTCCTTGAAAGAATCACTCCGTCGTCAAGCTAGCATCCTGGAGAAACCTTTTATCATGTGATTAAATAAAATATAAAAATATGCAATTTGTGGATGTTAGGTAAAGAATGAGTCAAAAAAGGAGGATTTTATTTTAGGAATTAGGGAAGGAGAAACGAACAAGGTAATGTTAAATAATGATTTTTTTCCCCTTCTTTATTTATACATGTGGAGGGAGACTCCAAAGAGATTTAAATAAAATAAAAAGAGGAATTCGTTATTTTAAGGATTTCTTTTTCCTGTTTTAGACTGTCACCTAACATTTATTTATAATAAAATCCATCTTCAACTTTCTTTTGTCTAAAATAATTAGAAATAAATTTAAATAGACAACAGAGTTTAAGAAAAATGTAAAGGCAAATAACAAGATGACCACTACAGTTTAGTATTAGCATTGTACAAATGATTAAAGATATGAAGTTGTTATCACCATTGTGAATATGATGAAATTTTAAGTTAAAATTAAAGAATTATATCGAAATAATTTTTTTTCCTAATATATACGACATTAATACAATTTATATTAGGATAACACACATGGGAGCATATGCACACCCATATATTTGTATATAGACACGAAATTTTAAAAAGCACAATATATATATATATATATATATATATAGAGAGAGATATTTATTAATCTCCTTTAATTAATAGAAGATATAGCTTGCATCATGCCATAAAAACAAATAATGTTGGTCCCATCATTTTTCAAAAAAAGAAAAAGAATGACACAATTTTTTATGCTCACTGGCATAAGATAATTGTCTCGGGTAAAAGGAGACAATTTAAACCCATATATATATATATATATATGGACCATGATCATTTTACACCGGTATAAGATTAGTCTTAGACCACATCTCAACCGTTGATTTCTATGAATCCAACGGTTATAATTTAGGAAGTCATATGAATTAATTAAGATTAATCATTAATTATACTACAAAACCAATTGATGATTTCTGTCCATCAAAGGTTGAGATGTGGTGTAAGACTTGTTAGTCTTACACTAGTGTAAAAAGAACCTACCCCTATATATATACCCTTTGACACTGGTATCAAATTTTTTTTCGTGAATCTAACATTTATAATTTATTGGATCATACTTATTAATTAATTAATTATTTATTTTAATAAATTATAACTGTCAGATTGACGGTAATAAATGGTTAATTAGGATTTGTGTCAAACTTTTTAGTTTGACAACAATTCAAATGATCATGTCATACATATATACATATATACATACATATATATATAAATATATATATATATATAGGATCCTTTGACATCAGTGTCAAATTTTAAATTTGACATCTCATCTGATAGCCGTTGGATCAAAAAAATCAATGGTGTCACATGCTTACAAATCAGAATCGTTGATCCTTTTTTATCTAACGGCTCTCAGATGAGATGTCAAATTTCAATTTTGACACTGGTGTCAAAAGATCCTATATATATATATATATATATAGGTAAACTATAGTTGTTGTACGTACAATAATTAAATTTGAACCATTGATTAATTATAATTCTCCATATTTAATACAATTACCTACTTTTATATGGTTATAATTTTCCAAATTTAATTGCTGCATAAGGTGAAACCCATATATATATTTTTGACCATAAGAATAATGGGTTTAAGGTATTTATTTTAAATTAATTCATTAATTGAGTTTTTCTTCATATTTATTTAAAACTATGGCGATCCTTCTTTAGCCATCGATATATGCAGCGTAGCGGAATTAGGCTTTCACCAATGGCCGACTAGTCTCTGTGGTGGTATGGAGCGTATGATTAATCTTGTTGTGGATTGGGTAGCTAGTGCCACCTATAGTGGAACACCTCTTTCGCCTTTCTCTAGAATTAATGGCAAAGTGACTCTGTGGAAATTAATTTCTTAATCCTTATGGTGAACACCATCACTTAATAAGGCCCATATATGTCATATTGGATCATCGAAAAATATAAAACAAATAAGGTGTACTTGTCTCCATTGTAGCAACTATGTATATCTAATTCTCTTGAGTTTTTGGCCATTCCTTACGAGCTTTGGTCTTCTTAGTCAAATCAATCCTTAGAGGATATTTTCTCTAGATGAGAAAGAAAGAAACTGAAATTGATTTGACCTATATATAGTATTTCATTTGGCACTCATTACACCTAATTGGGTCAAATATTAGATATCCATTCATTAAGCCCATATCAAATTAGGATGATTGCGATCTATTATATTGATCACTTAAGTTACCCATTAATTAAATAGCATGATATAATTGATATTTAAATGTGTAGGCCACATTTATATTAGGAAATAAAATTTCCTAACAATCTCCACTTGGATTACATATGATTTTGAAACAATTATATCATATATTCCTTAAGCATGCAACTAAACACTATTTACCTTTAGATTCCACCTTAGACTGGTCATGCTTATTACCATATCCTTAAGAGTCCTATTTCTTCTCTCCTCATTGCACCATTTATGGTAGGTTTGTCTATCATTGTATATTGCGGGACAATTCCACATTGGGTCCTAGACGTTATTCACCTGATCCATCAGATCTACCATAATATTCACCACAACGATAAGATCTAATAGCCTTAATTTTCTTGCCTAGTTGGAGTTCAACTTCGGCTTTTATATTTTTTGAACACATCTAGTGATTGTGACTTCTCATGTATCAGATATAGGTAACTATATCTTGAATAGTCGTCTATGAACGTAATAAAATATTGTTGTCAAGAGGCTGTAAGGAATGACCCACAAATATCTATATGAATTAGTTCTAAGGCGTCAATAACTCTAGTGGCACCTACTTTCTTTGTATTTGTCTATTTCCCCTTAATACATTCAATACAACCTTGAAAGTCATTCATATCAAGGGGTTCAATAAGTCCATCATCGACAAACCTTTTAATTCTTTGTTTAGAGATATGACCTAAGCACTTGTGCCAAAGAATAGCATAATTTTCATTTAATTTTAGCTTTGTATCTCATGCACTAGAGTGCAAAATTTCATTATCAAAAGTAACAGTATCAAGCATATAAAGATTATCAATTAAAGAACAAGTACCAATAACATTTGAATTTAGAAAAAGACCAACTTTATTATTTCCAAGGAACAAAAATAACAATATTTGTCCAAACTAGAAATAGAAACCAAATTTTGTCTAAATGATGGTGCAACATGAGTCTCAATCAAATCCAAATAAACACCAGTCTCTAATAATAATATGAAATTCCCAATAGCTTCTACGAAAAATTTCTTGCCATCGCCCACAAAGATGTATCTTTTAGCATCATTTGGCTATCGGCTCCACAAGCAACCTTGCATAGACATAATTACGTGAGTAATAACACTAGAATCTACCCACCAGGTATCCTTAGGTACATAAGCTAAATTAACATCATAACAAACAAAAAAGAGTCTTACCCTTCTTTTCACACCATGTGGCATACATGGAACACTTTTTCTTCATATGTCAAGTTTTAGTGCAAAGATAGAAAATAAATACCTTAATCCTGCTTCTTTAGAATGGGTTATTCATCTGCAATGTCTTTAGCTCTCTTCTTTCTCTTATTTTGAGAGGTTGATGCCAAGTGAGCACTATCAGTCTTTTCTCTCTGAAGCCTTTCTTCCTCTTGCACACAATAAGCAATAAGCTCATTAAGGGTCCATTTGTCCTTTTAGATATTGTAGCTCACTACAAATTGACCGTATTGTGTAGGAAGAGAAATGAGAACCAAGTGCATGTGAAAATCATCAAATAACTCTAACTTTAGTGCCTTGAGTTTCCTCGCAAGATTAGACATCTCCAATGTGTACTCCCTTATATTCCCATTTCCTTTATACCTCATGGTTATAAGTTTTGCCAATGCGTTACTCATTTCTGCCTTTTCTTTTTTGGCAAAATATTGCTCAATCTCTTTGAAGAACCTTTTAGCACCAGTGCTCTCAGTAATAGAGCCTCTAAACACCTCTGAAATGGAGCGTTTCATGATTATCAGACACATGCATTTAGAGTGCTCCCACTTCTCAATGTTATCCACGTTTGGATTTTTTGTAGTGGAAGTGAGTTTCTCCATCCTTAGCGCAAGGTCTAGATCCATGCAACCAAGAATAATTTCCATAATTTCTTTCCATAACTTAAAGTTCATCCCTTTCAACATAGAAATCATGGTTTCTTAAGTCATATTATTATTAACAGTAGTAGCAGAAACTGTATAGAGAGAAAATAAGATAACATACTTAATATCCATATCATACCAAATACGCAATTAAAATAAAATACACATACATGACATTGACAAACAATCCAAAGCAAGGTGGGCCTATTTACAATATACCTAGCATAACATCGACATTTGATCTTTGGACCAAAAATATCAATCTGTAAGTGGTACTCTCAATGCAGCAATCAAACATTGACAAAAAATCATGTCAAGCTACAACTTTCCTTTAGACAAACTATTGCTCACATGGAAAATCTTTATAATATTCATGTATTTATTACCACATGTATATATATTATTTGGCCAAATAATAACTTCCTTTGAGCCGATGAATATTCGCATAAATAACAAATATACTCATCTTTATACATCACAATAAATTATTATCCACAACAAAGGTTAATTTGGCAACAATATTGTTTTAACTAATTTATTATAAAATACAAGACAATTAAAAGCAATAATAATTAAATAAAACAAACATAAACTAAATATTTATTTTATTTAATTAAATACCTAAGTTCCTTGTATGGAACATCGAGCCTGCTATTTCTCTGACTCAATGATATGTTCATTCCTTATATGGAATGTGAAAGGGGCTGCCAAGAAAGAGCTAGGGAGGCACTTGAAGTTGTTCGTAGTTAAATATTCAATTCAATTGATTGTTCTTGTAGAGACTTGCACCCTTAGGCTGAATTACAGGTGGTTAGTAAATAAAATGGGTTTGACAATTGTACCGTAGAGGAGGCTCAAGGATTTATGGGTGGTATTTGGTGGCTGTGGTCGTTAGAACATGTATATGTTGACATAGCGAGTCAATCTTCTCAGTTTCTTCACTCTCGTGTATGCATCCCAGGTAAGCAAAAATTTGATTTTACTACAGTTTATTCCAGCCCAAAGAATCATATTTGTCAGTCTCTATGGGAAGATTTGCAACAGTGGAAAACATATGAGCATGGATGGTGGCGGGGGATTTCAATGAGATTGCAAGTATTGCAGAAAAGAAGGGAGGTAATCTACCAAATCCTACTAAGTGTGACAGGTTTAGAGCTAGATTGGAGGGTTGGAATTTGGAAGATCTACCGAGTTCTTGTACTTTTTTCACCTAGAAAGGCCCTAAGTGGCCTCTGTATATACAATATATGTTTTGATGATTACATAGTGGCAACAACAAAGAGAGAAGAGTATTAATCAAGAGCAAAAAACATCAATCATATGTGGATATTAAAGATGTATGATGTAGCCACACAAGAAGAGTAATGATATATCAAAGTGGCAAGATCATTGGATCAAGAGCAAAAAAGAATAATTAGAAGAGCAACACCAAGATCAAAGACAACAAACTATAGACAACATCTAAGAGAAGCACACTATCATAACCATGGTGAAAAATGATTAGAACCAACAAAGTATCAAGCCTTGTCATATCCAACAAGTCACAGCATCAAGCTCAAGTAAAGTTCCAAGACTCAAGACATGAAGATAAGTCTGAAATCATATTTAGAATATATCTTTAGGACTTAGAAAATATGTGAGTGTATATGGTAGATTGCATTGCATGAGCTCAAAGTTTTTCTCAAAGTAAACGTGTTTTTGAATTGCATAATTATAACTTTTATATACTTGAAAGAAATTTGAAAAACCCATGGAAAATATCCTTGACATGTTTATAAATTCAAAACATATTTATCAAGTCAAGATTTTTCATAAAAAGTGGTTGGAAGCAAGGCAGAACACATTTGAACTTAAAATTTGTTGTATAATTTTGTTGTTTCCTTCCATACAATTTTTCGTATCCAAGATGATGGATTTGGATTTTGTGTTCTTCATAAAAGTTGTATATCTCTCTTTTATCTTTCCAACGAGACCAAGATCACATCAATCCGACAAGTATAACACAAGTTATGCCAAAAATACGAAATAATGTTCTTGTTGTCAGGTTGGGAATCAATTACCATTTGAGGTAATCGATTTCCCACCATTTGGTAATCGATTACCACTGTGACATAATGCATATAACGACTATAAACGGATAGTTTTCAATGTAAATACTATATATGCATTCCCAATGACTCTAAAACGTATTGGACATTATTCCTACATATATTAAGCATACTTTGAGAGCTTCTACACTATCATTTTATATATTCTTTCATATCTTTCAAAGATCATACATATTTGAGCACATATCTTGAAAATTCATATACCCATAGTGCTTCAATTTGTTTATCCACACTTTGAGAGTGTATATTCATTTTCAAATATTTTCCTCCTTGTATTCTTGAGTTGAAAGGGTTGTGAGACCCATTATTTGAGAGGTAGCCAAATACCTAAGTAAATTTGGAGTGAATTGTAAGATTACCAAGTACCCGTAAACTTGGAGATTGTAAGGTATCCAAGAACCCGAAGTCTTGGAAGATTGTAAAGGTTTGTCAAGCACCCGTGAAGCTTGGCCATTAGTGAAAGACTTCATCGAGCGGCTTCAGTCTGGACGTAGGTCACAAGTGGTGGTGACCGAACCAGGATATATTATGTTTGCAGTTCTCTAAACTCTAAACTTTTTATTTCTAGCACTTTAATTGCTTCTTTGATATCTTGAACGTGCTAGAATAATTACTATAATTGTGATATATTATATATTATGGATTGTTTGAATGTATTGATTAGCTTTCCTCATATCAAAGTTTGCTTGAAATGATTATTTAGAAATTAGAAGGGGACTTTTGCGAAAATCTTGTAATACTCAATTCACCCCCCTCTTGGGTATGGAAGCCACATTCCTAACAGCCTCACCTTCCGCGTGTTTACAAAAAATTAGATCGCGTTTGTGTCAATGCAGCCTGGCATCTTTAATTTCAACATGTTAACGTTAGCAATCTGGTCCATACCTATTCTGATCATCATCTCATGCTCCTTCGCGTTGCTGGTTAGCCAAGTAGTTGGGTGTGCCTAGACCTTTTTGTTTTATGGCAGACTAGCTAAATTATCCTCAGTTCCCTCATCTTATGGAGAGAGATTGGAAGCGTGATTGTCAGATTAATCAGATGCTTGGTGATTTTGTTCAGCCTCTGCAGAGGTAGAATAAGGAGGTTTATGGAAATATTTTCCAAAAGAAGAGCGAGTTGATGACGAGCCTAGAAAAGCTTCAGGCACAACTTCTACAGCATGAATATAATTCCTTACACCAACTAGAAAAATACTGCTATGAGGAGTTGAACATTGTTCTTGATAGAGAGGAACAATTATGGTTCCAAAAGTCCTGGTAAAAGTGGATTGTTGATGGGGATCGTAGCACAAGGTTCTATCACCTTAAAACTGTTGCCAGAAGGAATGTAAATAAGATCGCCTGTTGAAGGATGCCACTAGTAGTTGGGTTGAAGATCCTTAACGCCTCCGTGAGTTGGCATGCTCTTTCTTTAATAATCTGTTTCATGAGGATGATGTTAACAGAATGTGGATCTCCTCAGGTAGCATGTGGCCTAATCTTGCACAAATAGAGCTTAATTTCTTGCCTCATATGCCTTCTACAATGGAAATTAAGCATTTTTTATTTGATATGGGATCATATAAGGAACTAAGGAGGGATGGATACCTAGCTATCTTTTTTCAAAGAAACTAGGACAGGTTAAAGGACCAAATTTGTGCAAGTATTTGTGAGATGTGGAAACACCTTGAGCTTATTCGTCATGTCAATTATACTCTGTTGTGTTAATATCGAAGCAAGTAGCACCATCTTTGATAAGCCAATTTTGGCTAATCTTCCTTTTCTCAGTTATGTACAAGTTACTTAGTAATCTTCTTGTCAATAGGCTTAAACCCATCATAGAGTGCCTCATATCTCCTTGCTAAGCAAGTTTCTTCTCAAAGTGGCAGATTCATGATTATATTATTATCGCTCATGAATTGATTCATATATGCATAAGATGCATAGCAAACGTCCTTTCAAGGTAATCAAAGATGACTTGGAGAAAGCCTATGACCGGTTGAATTGGAATTTCCTAAAAAATATTTTTCAGGAGATACATCTACTAGATCACTATTGTAAGTTACTAATGGCTGTCTTCACCTTTTCCTCTGTCAGTATGTTGTGGAATGGAGGCCAGACGACATATTTTAATCCATCTAGGGGTATTCACCAAGGAGACCTCTGTCTCCATATTTATTTGAGTTGGCAATGGAGAAATTAAGCCGTATTGTTAATACAGTAGTGACAAGAAAGATTTGGAAGCACATTAAATTCGGCAGAGGTGGTCCCCCAATCTCCCATCTCATGTTTGCCGATGATCTCATGTTGTTTGCGAAGGAATCTTTATCTCAAATGGATGCGGTGCTGAGATGTATTAATTTATTTTAGTAGATATCTAGCTTGAAACTGAGTGTTCAGAAGACAAGTGTTTTTTCTCCAAGAACATGTCAGAGCAACTTGCTCGGGATATTATAGGGAGATGTGGCTTTAAACAAGTTCATAAAGGTAGGTATTTTGGTGCTTAGATGATGTATGGGCGTGCAAGTAAACAATATTATTAGCACATTATTGACAGAGTTAAATCAAAGTTGGGTGGCTGGCAGCAACAAACATTATCACAAGCAGGTAGGCTTGCGTTGTCCCAATCTGTCTTATATTCGATACCTTATTTCCATATGCAGTATGGCAAACTCCATGTGGACATTTGTGATGATATTGAAAACATTCATAGGAGATTTATTTGAGGGGGCATAGAGGCAACTCGTAGACCCCATGCTATTGGATGAGATAATCTAACTCTGCCAAATGAGATTGGTGGGTTGGGATTGAAACGGTTAAACATAATGAATGATGCATTCATATTGAAATTGGTTTGGCGCTTTCACAATGAAATAGATTCTCTGTAGGCAAAATTCCTGAGGGGTAAATATCAGCGTAGCAACACTGGTGTTTCTACACTGCTAATGTAATTTTTTTTTCT